ATTATAATCATTGTAATGAAACAAGGTGTATGATTTGTTGAATGTAAAACTGATAAAATGCCCTGTAAAGTTTCACTCAATCCACAATAAAAACCTTAAAAAAGAAAAAGAAGATGAAATAGGCAGTCTACATCTGAGGAATCAGTCACTAAAAACCTTATAAATAGCAGTGGAACATTCTCTGATAAAAAAAATAAAAAGGAAAAAAGCCAAGGATTCTTAGGAGTGTTCTCTACCCCTGCCCCATCACCATGCAGAAGGAATGTTTCTTCTTTACCGGGTTTGTTCTCTTCAGTTCCGCCCTCTTGGCCGACATGGTGGAGGAGGCCAGTGTGTTCTTCAGCTTCCCAGCCTCCACACAACCACCCCTGTGACCAGGCCACTCCTATGCAAATTACAGTCCAGGGAAGGGCAGGATGACACCTGTGTGTGCAGAACAGCTGAGGTCACAATGCCCAGGACCTACACACTGACCTGGAGAGGAGGGGCTCAGGGCAGGTTCAAACAACCAGCTCTGAAAAGGGAGAAGGAGCTCTCCCATGAGAGACACACCAGTCAGGATGTCAGCCTGTTATAGCCAAGGAATGCTTAATGAGAAGGAAGAATTCCTGGCTACCCCAGCTCCTTCCAAGGAGCCTTGGTAGCGTAGTGGGTTACACATTGAGCTGCTAACCACAAGGTCAGCAGTTCGAGTCCACCAGCCGCTCCATGGGAGAAAGATGAGACTTTCTGCTTCTTTAAAGACTTACAGTCTCAGAAACCCTATGCAGAGTCACTATGAGTCAAAATCACGGCACACCAACACCCTTCCTCAGGCTAAAGCTGCCTTAGATGCACAAACCGTCAGTTCTCAGTGACGCCAGTGACCCAGAGCACTGTGATTGGGTTTCACACAGAGTCCTGTGTGGAGTAGTTCATAAAGGTGCCCAGGCCAGGGTCTCATGTTTTCCCCCATAACACTCTGTGCTTATTTCCTTACATCTTGCAGCATTCAGGTGGCTGCTCTCAGCCAGAGTGGCTCTCAGGTCCTCACCCCCAGGACCCTCTTACATCAAATCTTTAGATACTCTATATGGTTGGTTACTGCATTGTCCTACTTGACTAATTTATAGACCCCTCAGAACACTTTCCTTTTCAATTTGTCATTCCCTGCATAGTAAA